GCTACGGCCCGAAGGGGCGACGCGGCGGCGGCGGGCAGGTCGGGGTGACGACGGAAGACCTCGGGACGGTCGCAGGGACCGCGGGCCGCGACGCTGCGGCCCGAAGGGGCGACGCAACGGCGGTTCGCGAGTCGGTGCAACCGCAGGGACGGCCTCGGGATGGCGGCGTGGACCGCGTGCCACGCTCGCTACGGCCCGACGGGGCGACGCAGCGGCGGCGCGAGGGTCGATGCAGCCATGGGACGGCCTAGAGCGGACGCCCACGGGGCGGCAGGGGACCGCGGGCCGCGGCACTACGGCCCGAAGAGGCGACGCAGCGGTGACGCGGGTCGGTGCAGCCGGCACAAGAACCATGGGGCGGCGGCGCTGCGGCCCGACGGGGCGACACAACGGCAGCCCGATGCTCGATCGATGGAGAGGCGCGCTGAACTCGGGGATGATCTTCACGGGACCTGCAGAGGCGCGCGTAACCGACGGGCCAGGTCGGTCGCGCGGCGTAGATGAGGCGGATCGCGGCGGCGAGCAGGTGATCAAGCCGATCGCGCGCGAGGTCGGGGACGCCGCTCGGTGGAGGCGTGGTGGCGGCGGTGTCCGAGATGAAGCCGGCGGCGGCGGGCGGCAGGGCGGCTATGATTGGCCGCCACATGGCGCGAGGCCGCCGGGTCGGGGTGATGCAGAAGTCCCGGTCGGAGCAGGGCGGTGACGGCCGGCGTAGATCGACGGGCAGGCCATCGCGCGAATGGCGGCGGTGAAGGGCCGCCGCATGATGCGAGGCCGCCGGGTCGGGGCGACCGGCGGGCCGATGCGTGGACGATGCACGAGGCAGCCGCGTCGGGGCGACCGACGGGCAGCGCGCGGACGACGCGTGAGGCCGCCGAGTCGGTGAAGAAGTTGGCCAATCGCGCCGGTGTTGGAGTAGAGGCGCACGGGGTCGACGGCGGCGGTGGGCGACGCAAACCGGATCACATAGACCGGAAAACCAAAATGTAGATGCCGATCAAGGCGACCGGCGAAGAGAGAAAACCCGGATCAAAGGATCGGGAAAAAGACTCTCTAGGGCAGCCGGCCAACATGGCCGGCGGACGAACCCTAGGTACGGGCGGCGCGGCCCTCGGCGGCGGTCATGGAGGCCGACCGCCCCGGGGGCGACGCGCGGGTGCGGAAGCGGCGGCGGCTAGGGTTTAGGATCGACTTGCGATAGATACCATGTTAGAAGGGAGAGAGGAGGATTGGTGGAATTGTTGTTGTATTGCTTGAGCCTCGTGGGCATATATATAGGAGTACAATGATCTACTTGGAGTACAAGGCAAGCCAGAATATTTCCTAGTCTAACCTATGTTTCCTATACAATCACGTTACTCAACAAAGAGGCTAAGTGAGATCACAGTAAGCACGATGGAGGAGGTGAGGACACTCGTGGAGGAAGATGACTCATGGGCTATCGAGATCTCGCGAGGAGGAGGCGAGGTTCACAAGAACACTCGGCTCATCATGGATTGCGTCGTATCCATGCAGAATGCACGGACTTCAATGCAAAACTCTGCACCGAGCCAGAGTACTGAAAACCTTCGTAGCGTGATTGATGGCACAATTGATTATGAGACCTTTTACGGTACATCAATTTAATTAGGGCCGTTTATTTCCATGATTCGTATGGTTCAGATTAGGCAATACTACATCAGATTTTCAGTAGTATATTGAGTAATTAGGGATGTTTTGGGTAGTTCACTGTTAACCAATCCCCTAGGCAGATTCCCTTCAGAATCAAGCGGGCGGCAGAGCTGGAATTTCACGGAGTCGTCAGCGTTCATTAGGTCCGTTTTGCTCCGTCGCCATCGTGAGAGGCTACCCGGCCATCGCCAGCCCGCCCTGTGCCATCGCCAACGTCCAGCCCGCCCCGCGCCGGCCCACCGCCCCACGACTGCACGGACGCCACCTCGAGCCCCGTATCCATATACTGGGGCAACGCCCTCCGCCTCTCTCCCCCTCTACCCTCTTCTTCGCTACCTCCACTTTCCTCCGTTATCTGCCAGCGCATGCTGCGGCCGGCCTGCTGCTCGGTGTGCGGGTGGCGTACGTGGCGTGCGTAGTCCTCTCTGTGGATGTGCTTGTCCGCCGTGCTGCGTGTCGTCTGTGTGTGATGCCCGTTCGTGTGTGGTGCTGTTACGTGATATGTGCTTGTGTCTGCTATACTGCTGCTAGTGCTATGCCTTTGTGTAAAATCTTGGATTAGTGGGCGCCGGTGTACGTATGAGGGCAAGAGAGGAAGGCAAGAGAGGAAGCGATCTCAGGGCGCCGGCGGAAGTGCGTGCAGACTGGGAGAGGGCCGCCGGGTGGGGCGGGGCAGCTGCGTCGTCGCTGGGACGCATCACGCATGGGAGGAAGATCTTGAGGGGCGGCGGAGGGAGGCTGTTCGACGTAGAGCGGCCGATTACTACTCACAAACTCTAATAGTTAATTACCGAAATGTCCTGGCGCAAAAAATTTAGGAATTGATATTGGCCGTTGGATCAATTATATACTACCCACTTTTTCCGGTAGTATGATGCACCGTAAAAACTCTCTTGATTATCTGAAGGATCTGCTCTTCACAAAATCAGAGTCATGCTCGGATCAAGGCCTCCGGTACCTGTTCCTGCTCAACAATTCCTATTTCGTAGCTCATATGCTCTCTGAGTCATCATCATCTCCTGCATACCTAAATGAATTGCATTATTGTGAGAAGTACATGGATAGTTATCTCGATGTTTCTTGGAGACATGTACTCGCCTGCATACCAAAATCGAGATTTCCTGGACCGATCCATTGTTGGATAAACACGTCTTCGTTGGTGAAATTTGAGTTGGCGTTTCACAAGACATACCAGACTCAGAAGTTGTGGAAGGTTCTGGACCCTTGGCTCAGAGATGCGCTGCGGAGAGCTATCATTGAGAGAGTCATTACAGGTTATCGCAACTACCTGGAGGAGCATTCGGAGCTAGAGAAACACATTGGCCGCGAAAGCAGTAGTCCTGAAGTTTTGGAGGAGATGTTGGGAGAGCTATTTGAAGGATGAAAACTGCTTGAGTTATGGAACAGGCTCACCAGGCAGATGAGGCCAGAGTAATGTTTCATCATTACAGTTGGATTTTTTTTTTCATTTTCATTTGAAGTGAAGTTGTACTCTGAATTTTGTTGGTACCTTAATAAGCGCCAGATACTATATCAATTGGGCACCAGCTGCGGGTGTGTTTTTTACTGTGATTCCGTATCAGATCCTTCCACATTCTGCTCGTGTGTGAATTTCATACATAGATAATTGCCATGTTTAGTTCTGATTATGCAACATCATCACATCTATTTTTGTCTAATTCAGTACAAGTTCAGCTTTGCAGATGCCAAGACCTTTTTATAGATCTGTTATGATGGGTATGATGCGTATGGCGCTGGTCTGCACCGGGGTTCTTCGTCCACCGGAGGGGGCCATGGCTATGCTTGGGTGGACAATGACAATGATAACCGGGGTTTCCAAGGACCGCTAGGCAACTTTGTCGAGGGTGCAGTTGGCCCTAATAACCGAGCTTTCTGAGGACGTTTCCGCGGAGGTCGGGGCGGGAACAGGCGGCACCACCCACCAAGGCATCCGAAGACCTCTACCAAGACGGAGGTGGCTGACTGTGCATCGGATCTACCGCAGGTGGCGGTGGAGACGGTGCAGGCTTTGGCTGCAGTCACATTGCCAGAGCCCATGCAGACAGGATATTCTGGTTCTGAGCAAGGTATGGAGAAGGCCGAGGGGGACAAGCTATCCAAGTGGGCGGCTAAAAAGAAGCTAACCTGTTTCCGTTGTGGGGAACCGGGACATTTTTTGGTTCAATGCACTGTGGAGTTATGCGATTTGTGCCGGAAACCTAAACATACAGTTGCCGAGTGTCCTCTGATGTTGGGGCCCAAACCTTCCGTTCAGATATGCGGGGTGTGTTGTTCGGAGTTGATGTTTTTCGAGTCTCCCAGTGTGAAACCCTCGGCTCCCGCGGTTGAAACCTCCTTCCCCGATGTGGTGAAGGTGTTTCATGGACCATTGACCGAAGCGCAGATCATTCAGCAGTTGAGGGAGCTTGCTCCGGGTAATTTTTAGTGGTCGCTGCTTAAGCTCACAGATACTACTTTTAAAGTAGATTTCCCGTCTAAGGAGGATCAGCTGAGAATCCTCAAGTTCGGTATGAGCAGGGTCACGGGTACTAGTTTTGTGTTGCAGTTTGATGACTGGAAAAAGAAGGAGCCACAGGGCACGCCGTTAACTCAGATTTGGGTTCGCTTCTCTAGAGCTCCGTCTGCTCCTCTGGACAGCTTCTTGGTGATGTGGAGCCTGGGTTCTTTGATTGGCAAGACTGAGCAGGTGGATATGCAGTTCACACGTGCTCACGGGGTGGCGCGTTTACTTGTCAGTGTTGCTAACATTGAGTTTCTGCCAGATGTGGTACCTTGGACGCATGCAGGCGTCCTGTATCAGTTGGATGTTGAGTATGAGGATCCTAACCTTTTCAGTGAGTTTGAGGATGATAATCCCATGGACACTTCTGAGGGAGGAGGTGCTTCGGGGAACCAGGATGATAATGCTAAGAGAGATGATGATAATGCCAAGGGGCCTCCGGGTCCGTCTGATTCTGGTGACTCTGTTCCTGTTGGGTCCACTGCTGCGGTTTCGATGACCACTCTTCAGCTTGATTCTTTGGGGGCGTTCTCGGCTCCACCTAGGCTTTGGTGCGACCGAGTCAATCCTGTGAGCCCTGTAGTGAGTCTGAGTGTGACCAAGCATGTCGAGGTGGGAGGTGTCGCGGGGCAGGAGGCCCCGCCCTCTTCGCTTACCTTTCCCTCGGCTTCGGTCGAGGTGGCTGCGCCGGTGGTCGCGGTTGGAGGTGTCGGGCAGGAGGCTCGTCCCTCTAAGGTGCCGTCACCGTCGGCACCGAGGGTCAGCTCAGCGTTCACTCCCTTGAGGTCGGTGACTTGCGGAGGAGCGGGCGTGCAGGAGGCCGCCGTCTCCCCTTTTGCTGCTCTGGAGGGCGGGCCGGGTGGTCTGGCCGTTTCATCGCCACACTCCCCGGATCTCCCAACGCTGGTTTCCCCGGTCTCGGTTCTCGGCGGGACTTCCCTGGATAGGCCGAGGGAGCTCTCTTCGTCTCTGGGTGATGTTCCGGCGGTCCCAGTGCAGGTCACTGCTGTTGGGGGACGGGCATGAGGCCTTTCCCTTAGCAGAGCTTCGTGCGAGGAGGTCATCGCCTTCGGTGCGATCCCGAATCCTGTCTCTGCGGGGAGGCGGGTCAGCGGGAGATTGCAGGAGCAGCCGAACGTTGATGACATGCAGCTCAGGTGTGCTATGAGGGCGGCCAAGCTGCGTGACGTCGAGATCTCCACTGGTATGTCTGTTAATAAATCGAATTCTATTATGCATTTTACCAATGATGAGATTGTGCATAATGCGAACCAACTAGGAGTATCACTTGGTAATAATGATTTAGAGATTTCTAAGTCTGTTAATGATATTCTTGATTTGGAAGCTGAACGAGCGTTAGAAATGATTTGTAACATAGCTGCCGTTAAGCCTATGAATGAGTCGGAGATTGATGCGCTTGGGGTTAGGGCTCTTGATGGTTTGTGTGCCGATCTTGACCCTGCGTTACCAGAGACGGAGGAGGAGGAGGAGTATGCCTATCTTGAAACCTCTAACCATGATGATGAGTCTTTGGTGATTGCGGAAGAGCCCGAGTGGGGTGACCCTTCTGTTGATTGCGTTAAGCCTAAACGGACCTAGAAACGGAAGGTTTATCCAGTGTCGGCTGTGCGTAGAAGTGCTAGGATCCGTACCTCTAAAAAATTTCATGATGAAATATGAGAGGCATTTTTTGTAATAGCAGAGGTCTTAAAGACTTGGCTAAAAGAAGGTTTCTAGCGGATGCTTATCTTGAACAACATTTAGATTTTATTGCTTTGTCAGAGACTGGACGAGGCAATTTCACTCCACAATTTCTTAGCACTTTATCTGGGGGGGGGGGTAGATTTTGACTGGCATTGCCTTCCTCCTCGAGGAAGATCTGGTGGGGTTCTACTTGGGGTTAAGTGTGAAACGTTGGAAGTTCGGAGTGTAGTTTTGGGAGAGTTTGCGGTAAAGTTTCAGGTCAGAACTAAAGCCGATGGATTTGATTGGGCTGTGGTGGTGGTTTATGGAGCCGCGCAACCAGAACTCAAGCCAGATTTCTTGGCCGATCTGGTCCGTGTTTGCAGTAACGAGCAGCTACCTGTCTTAGTGGGTGGTGATTTCAACATTATTTGAAGAAAGGAGGAAACGGATAATGACAATTTTGACGGCGGATGGTCGTTTATGTTCAATACTATCATTGAGAGCTTGGATCTCAGGGAGATAGAGCTCTCAGGTAGGAAATTCACTTGGGCTAACTCGTTACCGGTTCCGACTTTTGAGAAGCTTGACCGTGTTTTAGCTAGTGTCGAATGGGAACAGAAGTTTCCCCTTGTAATAGTGCATGCGTTGACACGAGGTATTTCGGATCACACGCCGCTACTAGTTGACTCGGGGGCTCAAACTCATGTGGGTAACAAGAATATTTTCTCATTTGAACTTGCATGGTTTGAAAGAGAGGGTTTCCTCGACTTGTTAGCTAGAGAGTGGGCTAAAGACTCGGGTGGAAGGTCACCCATTGAGCATTGGCAGTGCAAGATTCGTCATCTTCGAAGGTTCCTTCATGGATGGGCTAAGCATACGCATGGGATATATAAGGCGGAGAAGGAAAGACTCCTCCTGCTTATTCACACCCTTGAGTTAAAAGCTGAAACTTCTATCTTAGATACCAGTGAGCTGGATACTAAGATGGAGGCCGAGTTGCGGCTAAAAGAGCTTCTCTGAGAGGAGGAATTGAAGTGGGTGTTGCGAGCTAAGGTTCGTAAAATCGTCCAAGGCGAGGATAGCACTCAATTCTTTCATATGATTGCTAATGGAAAGCATCGTAAGAAGAGAATTTTCCAATTAGAACAAGATGAAGGGACGATAGTTGGCCAGGAAAACCTCAAAGTTTACATTACCAACTATTATAAGCAGTTGTTTGGACCTCCGGAAGAGAATTTCGTGTCCTTAGATGAGTCAAGGGTTGAGGATGTTCCTCAACTTGAGACGGACGAGAATGAGATTTTGATTGCTCCCTTTATGGAGAAAGAGGTGTTTGAGGCTATTGCACAAATGGAAAACAATAAGGCTCCAGGACCGGATGGGTTTCCGGTGGAGTTTGACAAAAAATGCTGGCACTTCATTAAGGGAGACCTGATGCCAATGTTTCATGAGTTTTTCAATGGGCAGCTTCATTTGTTCAAGCAGAATTTTGGAACGATAACTCTTCTTCCTAAGAAGACAGAGGCTATTCACATTGAGCAGTTCAGGCCTATATGTCTGCTTAATGTTAGTTTCAAAATCTTCACCAAGGTTGGGACGAACAAACTTACGCAAATTACGCATTCAGTTGTGCAACCGTCCCAGACTGCTTTCATGCCAGATAGAAATATCCTTGAAGGGGTGGTCGTCTTGCATGAAACACTCCATGAGATTCACTCAAAAAAACTAGATGGTGTGGTTTTTAAAGTGGATTTCGAAAAAGCATACGATAAAGTTAAATGGCCTTTCCTTGAACAAGCTTTGCATATGAAAGGATTTGACACGGCCTGGAGAACCCAGATTGAGTCCTTTACGCAAAAAGGGAGTGTAGGGATTAAAGTGAATGACGATATAGGTCACTATTTCCAGACACACAAAGGGTTAAGGCAAGGAGATCCCATGTCACCGATCCTATTCAACATAGTGGTTGATATTCTAACTATTTTAATAGGACGGGCTAATGATGCGGGGCAGGTAGGTGGCCTGGTTCCGCACCTAGTTGATGGCGGTATATCCATCCTACAGTATGCTAATGATACTATCATCTTTATGGAGCATGACTTGGCGAAAGCGAGAAACATGAAGCTTGTGTTATGCTTATTTGAACAATTGTCCGGGCTCAAAATTAACTTCCACAA